CTCAGTTGTTGTTATTCAGTTCTAAATAATTCATAGTAAGAAAAGGAGAAACGGAATTAAAATCACCAACAAACTGTATTTGGTCATTGTAAGAAAACCGACGCACATAACCTAGTTGTAATGTGGGAGGTGGGGAGCATGTTTGTAGCTTCTCATTATCACTTTGTTGTGCAATGACATGCTGTACAGAAATAAACTGTAGTTTGTTTGGGGTTTTTTTAATTAATTCATTTTATTACTGGATTTCTCAGGGATTACAGACCTGGAAGAAGTAGCTCAATTTCTGAAAGAAGGAATAATCATGAAAGATTTCACTCATCCCAACGTTCTGTCACTCTTGGGAATCTGTTTGCCCAATGAAGGATCCCCCTTAGTCGTTCTTCCATACATGAAACACGGAGATCTTCGAAACTTCATTAGGAATGAGACTCATGTAAGTACATGGTGAGGTCTACCAAACGGTAATGCAAGTCTAGCCACGCCCTGCTCCACCACCACAGGTTATAAGCTCTGGTAATTACATTACGTCTATAACTTGCTGCTGTTACTACACCTTAACCTTTAGCACTTGACTAGGCTGGCACCGAGCCCGACCGCAGCGCTGCCACTCCTTCCCTTCCCCCTCAAATTCCTCTCTAGAATGTTTCCCAGAAATTATCAGCAGTAAGTATTTCTCATTTCCCATCCATAAGCCTCTTTATAAACAAATGTGTTTATGAGATCGAAGTCAAGGGGCCCAACCATCTGCTGGTTTAAACTGGCATATCTCTGTTGGCTTCAGCACAGCTGTGCCAGTCGTCACCATCTGCTCTTCCAACTCCTAGGTAAGGGATCTTCACGTCCAGCTAGAGAGTGTCATAGTCCCGTTATTATCAATGTTTTTTCTTCTTATCTTAAGAAAGACAAACAGCAATTGTTATACAAACTATGAGTACTCTCTTATCAGAGATTTTCCCCATTTTCATTGAAAGACTGCAGATTTCTCAAGCGTGCCTCACTGCTTTCTGTCAAGTATGAGACCACAGGTCTTGCCTCAGGTAATGTAAGCCCACTTTATACTGCAATATTTCACCCATGTCACAGTGCTAGGACAACATAAAGCGACTTCTGAGCCAATGGGATTTCACCCCTGCCTCTATGGCAATCATCAATAGCCAGTAAAATAAAAAAAAAAAAATGCATCTTGACAAATTGTTGGGGAAAGTTAAGCTTTCTGAGGAAGAGACCTCCTCCCTTTTGAGCTTGTTTCATTCTACAAGCAGCAGGGACCTTGTCTGTGAATAGTGCCGTGGTCCTTCCTGAAATAAATAGAATAATGACCACAGCTGAACAGGACTGTTCCACAGAAGAAAATGATATGGAGCAATGTCAACACCACAAAAATCTGTCGGACCATACTATTATATAACAAGTCGTGCTGTTGGATAAAAGAATTACAGGTTTATGTTTATATTTATTTATATATTTAACATTTTTGGTAAGGTCTTACCTTGTAGACCAGCAGAAAGAGTTACCACTTTGTGGAAAATCTTCCTCTGGTAACTGCTAAGGTCTCATTTGCCTTTTCCATGGCATCATACTGATAATAGCTTGCACCTATTTTGCCCCAAATAGGACTCTCTCCTTTCTTGGTCATTTCCAGCTGATGAGCTCCAAGTTCATAGTTAGCACCTTCTACTGAGTTACATGCTATTACTCTAAGTTCACAAATTTGAATTTTGTGTACCAGCTGTGATGTTGAGGTTTCAGCATACTGTTCCACTTCTCAGCCCACGTCATGCTGCTTATGCTGCAAACTCCACTCTTCTGGAGTCTGTCGGTTTTGTTGATTTCTTAAAGTGTGTTTCCTCACGGGAGGTAAGAACCTGACCTAAGCTTACGCCAGCTTTATTACGAGCACTGACCTGCCTTGATCATTCTGATGGCAAGATAGGTGTGTCAAAAACTGAAAGTCACAGCAAAAAAACAACCATCTGCTCCTTGGGCTTCTGCATTCATTGTATCACAAATGTTTGTATTTTACAGAACCCAACAGTAAAAGACTTAATTGGATTTGGCCTTCAGGTCGCAAAAGGGATGAAATACCTTGCAAGCAAAAAGTTTGTCCATAGAGACTTGGCAGCAAGAAACTGTATGTAAGTACAAACATCTAATTCCAGCCACGTTATCACACTCTTCTGTGTAAGACAGTGAGATGAGATAAATGAAATTTTCCAGGATTCTCCTTTTTTAGTCAAAATAGGGTGTTTTTTTCATTGTTCCATAACCATACTGATGTTTGTCTTGCATACTGATGAGCTACTCAGCTTGCTAAGGGCTCACTTCTTACATAAGCTTTTTTTGAGTGTGGGAAATAAGAAAAGCTGAGGTGAAAGTGTAGTCTCGCAAAATCATTGGTTAGAGAGTTTAAAAGGCATCTCCTAAGGGAAGTTAAACTGCTGTTGTCTCAACTTGCTGTGCTTCCACCCAACCTCTTCAGAAGCAGCACGTCTCTGCTGCCGCACCTAGCAGGAGGGAGAGGAACACAGGGGAACTTTGTGAGAAAAACAGGAACACAAAGAAACACCAGTGAGACTTATTGACAGTAATCTTTCATTACATGAGTATGAGCTTACTTTGGCTCACTTGTGCACACAAATTAACATTAAAAAAATCAGAGCATGCAAAGAATCTTACTAGCGTCTGAGTAGCCAGACAGTTCAGTTCACACACAGACTAACTGATACAGGAGTTGCCGATACTATTATGCTGATTCATCACCTGTGTTGTGAACTAACAAGGTACAGGATTAAACATTAGAGTTTATTTTTAGCACGTCATAATCTGGAATTCTGGCTGCAAAAAGGTTATTCACCCGTGACATCAGATTTCTTATTCTTTTTCAAAGGGTGCACACTCGTGCAGCTGAACAGCCTCTGAAAAAGAACATTTTTTTTACAGCTGCTGTTTTTTTAAGGGAGGAAAAAAGCCACAAGAACATGATTTTCAGGCTTCCTAAGAAGAAAGGAATTGGGTTACTGGATAGAAGTCCTGGTTCATCTAATCAAAGTCCAAATAGTGGCAATAGGACATTCCATCTGGTCTACTGTCTCTTCCTTGAGTGAGGAGGGAACAGCTACCAGGATGTCTCACGTTGCCAACTGAATGGCTGCTTTTGTACTTCCACATGGCTCAGCACTTCAGAGCCTGGAGAGCCACTGCCACGTGAGAGAAAGACGTAGGATTGAAGACCCACATTCCCCAGTGGCCATATGTAATCCAGCACTCAGAAGCACAGCCCCTGCCACAATGGCGATGTCCATCAGAAAGGAAACCAGGATGCAAATACAGTCCCCATGGACTCTTGACTCTATTCCACTATCCCAGAAGAGGTGCAGGAAGCTGCTGTGGCATAAACTGTCCCCTGTTGACCCATCAAAGTTCCCTCCTACTCCCTTCATTGGTATGGATTTAGTTATTACATCAGTAAATACAGCAGATGGTTGTGTGCCATTCAGAGAGTTGTCCAGACAGAAACCTCATAAATTCAAGAGAGGGAAATGCCATGTGGCTGAGGGAAGGGATTGTTTAGCCTGGAAAAGGCTCAGAGGGATCTTATCCATGGGTATAAATACCTGACATGGTGGACTAAAGAAGATGAAGCCAGATTCTTCTTAGTGGTGCCCAGGGACAGGCCAAGAGGCAGCGGGCACAAACTGAAATAGAGAAAATTGCATTTAAACATAGGAAGAAACGCTTTTATTGTAAAGATGACTGAACACTGGCACAGGTTGCCCAGAGAGGTTGTGGAGTCTCCATCCTTGCAGATATTCAAAACCCAGCTGATCATGGTCCTGGGCAGCCTGCAGTAGCTGACCCTGCTTTGAGTGGGGGAGGTGGTGGCAGCGGGCACAAACTGAAATAGAGAAAATTGCATTTAAACATAGGAAGAAACGCTTTTATTGTAAAGATGACTGAACACTGGCACAGGTTGCCCAGAGAGGTTGTGGAGTCTCCATCCTTGCAGATATTCAAAACCCAGCTGATCATGGTCCTGGGCAGCCTGCAGTAGCTGACCCTGCTTTGAGTGGGGGAGGTGGTGGTGAACTAGATGATCTGAGGTCCCTTAAACGCTTTTATTGTAAAGATGACTGAACACTGGCACAGGTTGCCCAGAGAGGTTGTGGAGTCTCCATCCTTGCAGATATTCAAAACCCAGCTGATCATGGTCCTGGGCAGCCTGCAGTAGCTGACCCTGCTTTGAGTGGGGGAGGTGGTGGTGAACTAGATGATCTTCAGAGGTCCCTTCCAACCTCACCCATTCTGTGATTGTGTGATTCTGTAAAGAAGCCCAGAAGCAGGTGTTTGCTGCTGTGGCTGGGTCTGCACATATGATGAAGGATAGGCTTAAGCACGCCAACACCCATGCTCTGTTTTCTGACAATGATACTGCTTATCAAGACAAACACCAAGCTTAGGAGGAGCAAAGCTAGGGAGATCTTCTGGTATGGCTGAGCTGTAACCCCAGCAGAACCTTCCTTATGCCCAGTACAGACACCAAACACATCCTTAGTTACACGGCTATGTTATTATATATGGGCAGTCACTGAGGTAATGACGGGTCCTTCCTTAAACAAAATTGAGAGTGAATAGGAAAGGTGATGCCTTGACTTGGAAATAAAAATGAGAGGTTTCTAAGGATACAGAAGAAGAAACAGCTGTGGAAGAAATGATGTAGCACTCAATCAGGATGTACAGGCTATTAGCAAAAATCTTTTTATACAGAGCAATTGTTTTAAAAGAACTGTAATTCAAATTATATTATCAAAACAATATCAGTAATTTCCTGAGTTCATTCACCATGTTAAATGGGTGTCACATATATTCTGCTGCACTTTTTGTTTCACTGTTACATTAGTTAATAGATCCAAGATAAGGTACTGCCTTCCAAAGTCACCGTCTCAAAAATGCAAGTCACTCGTTATAATCCACCATCACTGTAAATCTCGCCTGCTCAGTTGCAGATAATACTTTTTGTCATTTCTCTAGGTTGGATGAAAAATTCACTGTCAAGGTTGCTGATTTTGGTCTTGCTAGAGATGTCTATGATAAAGAATACTACAGTGTGCACAATAAAACAGGAGCTAAACTGCCAGTGAAATGGATGGCTTTAGAAAGTTTACAAACTCAGAAGTTCACAACAAAGTCAGATGTGGTAATGTACAAACATATTTGTATCACCTATTAATTTCTCTTATATTGCCTGAGGCATCTCTCTAGTATTTAATGAATGGACTAACTCCAAACCAAAACTTATATTTGAATATAACTTTAGTTCACATAAGAATAAGAGACTGTTTCTACATCCAGAAAGGGTATTTGTCCCAATCACAAAGCAACAAGATGTTGACCTGATTATCTGTTACTGCTCAGGAAAGAATTAGGAGTTTAATCCCACTCCAAGGGAAACTAAGGACATTCCAACAAGCCAAGTCAGAGCTGAACCCTGCTATAGGAGGGGCTCTGGAAAGCTTGACAAAACAGGTTAACTCTGACACTTGTAAAATTTAGTAGTTCTCAAAAAGACTTTATTTGCTTTATAAATACTTACTGACTGCCTACAGCAATCTCAAGTATTACCTGACCATTTATGAAGAAAAAATTATAAGATGAAGTCATTAGGTGGCTGGATCACTTTGTATTTTAGCTCTCATTTCAATCCAGATTCAAATTAGCCCGTGATGCATAGAATTTTCACCATGTATATTCTCTTCAGTATATATTTACACAGGGTTAGTCAGAACATCAGCTCATGTAAATTGGCAGAGCTCCATTAACCTCAAAAGAGGTCTGCAAATTTATACCAGCTAAGTAGCAGGCCTATAGGCTTTTATTTTTTTTAATTTACTTAGCTGAGTTTCTCTGGCTCTAATTTAAGTGGCTCCTCAAGTCCCTACAGCATTTATTAACCCACTTAAAAGAAAGCTGAATGCAGTAAAATAACTTTTCAAAGGGAAAATCCATGCATTTGAATGCTTAAATCTGTCAAACCATCTTCTAAAACTGGAATGTAGAGCCCTCCAACCCTATTACTTATTATTTATTTCTTTGTTTTCTTAGTGGTCCTTTGGTGTGTTGTTATGGGAACTTATGACAAGAGGGGCACCACCTTACCCTGATGTAAATTCTTTTGATATAACTGTTTACTTATTACAAGGACGAAGGCTGCTACAACCTGAATACTGCCCCGACCCACTGTAAGTAAATAGCTTGCAAAGCCTTCTGCAAATGCTGCTCATTCTGATATTATAGTAAGTGAGACTGTAGGAGGAAAGAGGAGGGCTTTTTTTCCTTTTTACCTGATTTCATAATTGAACACTTCTTTTATTTGAATGGCAGGTATGAAGTCATGCTGAAGTGCTGGCATCCAAAACCTGAGATGCGTCCAGCATTTTCTGAACTTGTTTCAAAAATATCAACAATCTTCTCCACTTTTATTGGGGAACACTACGTTCATGTCAATGCTACTTATGTCAACGTGAAGTGCATTGCTCCCTATCCTTCTCTTTTATCATCACAAGACAACACAGACGTGGATGTTGACACATGATGGGTATGTCTGAAATAGAGGAAAATTCATTCTCAGTTGTATGAACAAAAAGCAAAATGTTTTGTCCACTAGTTTTTACTGCCCGGTCTTTGTGAGAACACTGTTGCACATGTTTATGTTGTTGCCCAAGTTGCACTAGTACAAGGACACGATATCATATTGTTTAAGGCTATGGGATTCTATAAACCATCACGGTAATTTCCAAGAATTTGGACAACTGCATCAATTTACCAAATGGAAGTGTTGTGTGCTGCCATCCAGAGCTAGTTCTCACTAGCTCTTATTAATGTGTGCTCAGACCCAAGAACAAAGATTCATCATTAATGCCGTGAAGGAGAAAGTAGAATACCGATCAGTACGGCTGGAAGGACTGTTACTGTTGCATGTACTTTAGGACAATGAGCAGTGCAGAAATGATTTTCACCCAGAAGGCTAAGACAAACAATGAGAGTTACAAGAGTTTAAAATGTATTTTCCTCCCGCACAGTCCAAACTTTGGATTTTTGCACTATATCAACAAGTTTCTTAGAACACAGACAGCCAGGAGAGCCAGCCTCATGGTAAATGTCTTAACAGAAATCAACATCAAAAAAGGGTGTGCAGTGAAATAAGTATGTCAGCCTTGCCAGTCCTCTGGTGTAGTCAGACGGTACATAAAATGAAGGGAAAATCATCTAGCTTAAAGCATTCCTAGTGTCAACTTTATTCCAACGTTCAACCACTTCTTCGAGTAACAGCCTGTATCGACAGATCTCTTGCTGAAAAATGCAAAGCCTCCATTTCTTTCAATAAAGAATTAACCACTCTCTGAGAATAAAAACTTGAGGGCATCCATATTAAATGCCAGGCTAATCCCTGGGATGTAGTAATATGGGCTGCATTATTCTAGAGGAAGAGGAGACAGGCAGGCTGGCAACCTTATGGAGCTGCTGTCTGGTGAGTCACACAGCAAGTAGCTGAAGCTCTGCCACTTACCCTTGGGTGGAGCTGCCGCCAAAGGTGAGTAAAGAACGGAGGCGTTGCAGCCAGCCCTGACCTAAAAAGACACTGCCATAGCAGGAATGTTGATAACTTCTTCGTGCCAGCCCTAAAGAGCTGAGAAGACCGATCAAAAGAAGAAACAGCTTTAGGCTCCCCAAGCCTCTTCTTGGATTACACAACCCAGTGAATTAGGATACCTACTTTTATTCCTAAATTATGACCAGAAAAACAATTTTTAAAAGAGAGAGTAAATAAAACTTTCATTCATTAGAGAAGAGTACTATAGCTTTAGGGCAAGCATCACATGTCATTTCTCTTCCTGTGGAATTCTGTGCATACTACTGTATAGCTTGTTTAGTATAGGCTAGAACTGGGTTTGTTGGTGTAAACACATAAAGTATTCTATTTTTATATTAAAAAAAAAGTTTATTTTTAATGACATTTACAAAGTTTGGTTAGGCCACAAATACTGCACTGTGAACATTTCAGAAAATGTATGTCAACGTACATGATTCATAAATTGTAGCAACCTTAAAGAAAAAAATCTGTGTAAATATTAAAAAGGAAAAAAACTGACTGTAAACACACTCCACCCTAAGTATAATATCTCCGTTGCTGCAAGCCAGCCATTTTAAGATCTTCAAAGAGAGGTAGTGCAGAAAAAGAACTGATATAAGGAAGACATGTTGTTCTTGGGAGACAGTGTTATACCTGAAAGATTTATAATGAGGGCAGAGTGTGTAGACAAACTATGAGCAGATAATATTGTATTGTGTTTCATCACCACTTTCATTTCAGAAACGAACTTTCATGTCTGCTGAGAGCAATGCTAATTGTAGATTGCTCAAGGACAAAAGGCTTTGCTGCAGGCAAAAAAAAAAAAAAAAAAATCATCTCTATGGTTGTTAAAACAGCTAAGGAAGTTTATGACACACAGATTTGGAGAAGATACTCCAAAACTTGTACATATGTGCTTGAGGAACGCTGCAATGTGAAACAGAGGACATTTTTACTATTTATGAACTTTTGCTTAATAAAGTTAATGTTGTGTCTGGGACACCTGTAAGAATACGTGATTCTGAAAAAGATTTGATGTCAGTAAGTTCATATATCTGCAAAAGA